AGGGGCAATGGGCACAAACTGAAGCAGAGGAAGGTGCAGCTGAACCCGAGGAAGAACTTCTTCCCTCTGAGGGTGATGGAGCCCTGGCCCAGGCTGCCCAGGGAGGCTGTGGAGTCTCCTTCTCTGGAGATATTCCAGCCCCGCCTGGACGCGGTGCTGTGCAGCCTGCTCTGGGTGACCCTGCTTGGGCAGGGGGTTGGGCTGGGTGACCCACAGAGGTCCCTGCCAACCCCCAACATTCTGTGATTCTGGGTTTCGGCTTTTCCCATCCCCGCAAGCAGCACGTTGTTTCCAGGGAGGCTGGGAAATAGCTGCTCTGTCTTCGCCGTTTGTGAAGCGTTGTGTCTAATGCTCCTCACCGCGATGTGCAGGTTTAGCCAGCTGTCGCAGGGGATGGAGGTGCAGGTATCTGCTGAGCTTTTTACTAACGGCATGGTCAGCCTCAACGAGCCTCAGTGGAGAACTGGTGCTCGTTACTGGTGGGCTCGGGCAGCCAGCAGTTCTAGTACCAGATTTCTAAACGACGCTGCGAGTGTGCAGTTGTAGTAGGGATTTGAGAAGTATTCGGTATTGCTGCTCATCTCGCTAATTAGCAAGTTAAACTCTTTTATCGTGACAGACTCTTGGGCAGATGGACAACGAGGCTGCTATCAACCAAACTGAATTACGCCTAAGTCTTCAGGGTCATGAAGAGGAGGAGGAAGAGGAGGAGGAATCGGATTCTTGAGAGAAAAAAGTCACAGATGGTTTTTAATACAGACTCAGGAATTTCTTCTTCATTCATACAAAATTCACCAACTGGTTTTCATTTTGTCCTGTATATGAACGATACGATATGCAAGACTCCCGGAGTCTAGGGGAGTTCCACTTGAACATGTGAATGTCACAAGCCTGGCACATCTTGACGTAGCTGTTAAAAGAATGCAAATTTGCTGCACAAAGATGTAGCATAATCCGTTTCACATTTAAAACCTAATGTAGCTGACTACATCTTTCTGTGTGGATGGGAGAAGTCATTAGTTGTCAGACTAACTTAACACCTACACTAAAAGCAATAATTTGTTCTTATTTCCTGATGCTGACAAACCGAGCAAGGCCATGGAGGGTGGTTGCTGAACCCATGATTATATTATAACCTCATTTGCTTAAACTGGGAACTTTGATACGCAGCGAGAAAAGATGTGACCAGGATTGTCTCCAGGCTTGCAGCTGCTGTGTCCTCAGTTACACGGAAAACTGGGAGAGGGATGCAGGTGTCCTCCCACTGGGAGCAGCAGGTGCTGTGCTGTCAGCCTGATTCTGAGCATGGTAACGAGGGGGGGCCTCTCTTTGTACCTACTGGTGCTGCTCTTGGGTACTGTCAGTATTTTCGACTTCTTGCTCTTCCAGAGTAGCAGCCACTTGGCCTTTTATTTAGCCACAAATTGTATGGTAAGTATTGGTCTGTGTTACTTGTAATAAGGAACTAATATTGTTAAATTAGTGTTATTTTCTTTTTCACTCACAGTAACCTTATAAATCAATGCAAGTCCACCTTCTGCTTTCAAGGGATCTTCAAGGAGGAGTGTGAGGAGGTGAAGAACTTAGTTATGAAGGGGAAAGTGATGTGAAGTCCCCTCCACAGTTTCTTTAACAGTACAGCAACAAGCTAGTGCTGCTTTTACTGATAGCCAGTATGTTCTTTGTCCTTGTGGCATGCAGACACCAGGTGGTGCAGCTGGTTATTGTATCAATTCTCAAAGACTTGTTTTAAAGCAAGAAATCCAAATCTGTGAAGCTGATTCAAAACAATAAAAGTAATGTTGTAACTCCGCCGCTTCGTCAGCTGCCTTCCTGGGAAAATGGTTAGATGCAGGGTTGTTTGTTGCACAACTCGTATCTAGGGTGCTGTTGCTGTCTCTGGCACCACTCAGAGAAAACAGAATAAAGAGTCTCCTGAAGTTTGCTTTTAAGAGCAGGAAAGGAACATGGAACAAGTGTCCGGTGTCCTGTGCGTGGTCAGCGCACACCATTCGACCTCCGGTGAGTTCCTGCCACTGAGGAGAGAGTGTTGACTTGGCTCTTATCTGGCCTGTAGCCATAGAAACTGAATGTTGGAATGTAAATATACCTCCATCCTGTACTAAAGACTAATTGGTTTTTGAGAATCCCCAATGTCTTAATGAAGGAGCTTAGAACATGAGTGCAAAGCTTTCCCAAGACTCATGGGTAAAAAAAACACACACGAGACAGTTCGAGCAGAAAACTTTATGGCTTGGAGTGTTCGATAATCCTTTGACAGTATGGTGTGAGGAGCGGGTCTGTGAGGCGCTGCGGAGCCAGCCTCTCCCTCTTCGCACGCTGCCGTGCTCAGCACCTCCCGCGCGCTTCGCTCGGCTCCTGGTCTCGGCCCCAGAGCAGCACCCCTTGCTGCCTTTGCTTTGCTTTTGGGCACCCCGGAGTGTGGAGTAGGTGCTCCTGGCTCTGCTCTCCAAAGGGCAGCTTTGACTGCTGAATAACGTTACTTGTCCCCAGCACATTTCAGAGTGGTTTTTGAGGATATACTTTACACCTCTTCTTCCTGCTTCCTTTTTGTGAGCAAGTCCCTTGCTTTTGGATTCAGACAACCCAGTTCTGTTACATGTCACTGTTAATTGCTTTTCTTGATGTCCTACTACATAGAAATGTGCTTGCATTATTCAAATTACCACTGTCTATGGAGCAAACAAATTGGATTTAAATCTCTAAAAACTTGCTGTTCACATACTGCATATTTCTTTTACCAAATAGTAAAAAGTCCTCTTGTAGTTTTTCTGTGTGTTAGTGTGTGTAATCCACATACAGAGCACAGGACTGATTTTTAATTTAAACTCACACCACCTTGTCACTGCTACCCACAGTCCCAGCTGAAGGAAGCCCTGGAGGTGTCCATGAGTCACTTCCTCCTGCTGACGGGTCCATGGCTATGGAGTCGCTTCCCCCTGCTGAAGGGTCCAGGGCTATGCCAGCCCTCTCTCTGATACCGGATACTCTGGGCCAAGTGGAAGTTCATATCTGGAATGATTCAGATTCCTTTTGGGAAGGAACTTCAGCCATTTCCGTGTCTGTAACACCCCTTCAAGGAGCTCAACTTTTTATAGCGCTGCTCCGGCTGGCTGTTAAGACAGCTGGACTTGGTGCTCAGGACACACAGCTGTACCTGCCTCTCCTCCTTCCCTTGCACAGCGAGTAGCTTGCGCAGCAGCTGACCGAAGCTGAACTTCTGGAGAAAAGCAAGCTGAAGAGAGTGGTGCAATCACTCTTTAATGACAGAGGCAGAGCAAGCAGGGCTTCCCGGCGCTGGGTGGATCACAGCATTCCTGTGCTGGTCTGCGGGAGGGAAACGCCTGTCACACCCCAGCCCCGGGGTTACGGCACTGACCTGAGCGTCGCACGCTGTACAAAACCTCTGCAGGTGGCTTCCCTCCACCATCCCACACAAGCCTGGTCAACAGGGTATTACCACACTGCAATGGCAACCAACTCCAGCCCCGTTTCATGCATTGTCATTGTACATATGCAGTCTTGCACCTCTTCAAGGTAAGGGTGTTGCATGGTTGTGGAAAAATATATAGAAAAAGGGTGTGTAATGCAGCAGTGACTTCGGATTAAGGCTTTGGTTAAGTTATTGACTTAAAAAGAAGCTTCAAGAAGTTATTTTTTAATATATTTATTAAGAGAATCCATTGCTAAACATCTGAGAGAATAAAACAATAGAGGATCTTCATATACTTTAGACACTAAACACAGTTGTCATGAATCTTTAGGTTAAAAGAAAGCAAACTGCCTGGATCTTTGTCTTGATTCTGTAGGACACTTCCAAGAACTAACTTTTAAAAAATCAATTAGAAAGACATACGTCACTAAATCCCAGTACGGTGATATGTTTTAAAAATAAATATAGAAATATGAACAAGTCTACAATTAGAATATTGCCCTGTACATTCCAAGAAATGCAGAGCTCTTGCCTTCTTTACCTGGAAAGAGGGATCTCTAAACAACAGCAAAATTGGAACCATTAGGCCTAACTTTCAGATACAGTTTGGCAGCAGCAAAAGCATGCTCGACAGATACAGTTTCGGAGCATCCCTAACCTTTTTTGCATGGGAGATTAGGTAAGCATGATTGAAGTACCAACGATTTACAAAGAACCTTGATAAAGTTCAAACAAGCCAGGGGTAAACACCCCCAGTGATATTTTCATTAAGAAAGAATATCCATAATCACTTAAAACCAGCAAGCACTGTAACTTAAATATCTTAACATTTTGGTCAGTAAACAAGTGTCATCCAATACAATACCAATTAGGTTACGACAAAATTTAAAACCATTTGGCACATGCTAGAAAGACATTCTTCCTTAAGAGGTGAAATACATGTTTGAACAGGTACAAGCTGAGGAAACGGGACCAAAATAGCGTTGCTGTTAACAGAGGTACAGTACAGGATTTGCTCTTCCACGCTCAGACTCCAGCAGCGTGCGTGGGCGTACTCGGCTGGTTAAGGCCTATGGTCGAACAAAGCCACCCCGCAAAATCCACCTCCTCCGCTTCAGATCTCTTAATGAAAGCATGAATCTGAGCAGAGGAGAAGAGTAGTATTAATCAAGCACTCGGTCTGTTAGATAATAATTCTGAACAACATGAAATACAGTAAATCCAGTTTACTTTCAGTATTCAAGCTAGCTATTAAACTTGGCAAAACACTGCAAGTGACCAGGAGAGCTTCTGTGCAGGACGACTGACGCAGCCGGCGCATGAAACGGAGCCACTGCAAAGCTTTCCAGAGGAACGCTGCCTACACAGCGCCCGCCCAGCACACTTACACCGCGGTACGCGACAAGGAGGCGACTCAGCCACTGGAGGTAATCTCCTGGAAAAGGTCCGATATGCACAGAAAGGCTTTTGGGAATAGAAAGAGTCTGGCTGCATTTTGCACCCTTATTGTACAGCAGGATCAGGGCGGGGAAAACCTGATCTTCTGCAGTAGAACTGAAGTGCTGGCATTACCCTAAAGGCCATGAAAAGATCCACTGGAACTGATACGGTCCTTTCATGCAGAATAAAAGGCAGGATTTGTTTGTGTCTAGTAGTTCTACAGTTTTTGCAAGACAAAGATGATGAAAAAAAGAGAGACAAATTTTGTGTTTCCACAGCAGATGATAAAAATGTATACCATAAGGTATATGGAATTTTGTTCTTTCGTCCTCCTAAAAGTAATAACCTCTATCCTTTATTATTGACTAATAACCTCAAGAAAGAGACGAGCCTTTTGCTAAGTAATTTAACAGCATTAGGTCATATACTCATTGTCATCATCCAATGGCAGACTCCAAAACCCATCAGTTCTGGTCTCCTTGCCAGTCCCTACTCAGGAGCATGTGAAAGCCTGCAGCCCCTTGACCTCTGCATCAGAAACACAGCCCCTCCCCCCCTCCAGCTGCTTGTGTTAAGAGCCATGAACTACACTCTAGGCCATATGCTCTGATGCTGATCTCAGGTCAGCTGAGGAACCCAGCCTGCTCCGAAGAGTGTTCTTAGTTCAAGTTAAGAACTTCCACTTACCATCAGCTGCTTCAAATCAGCTCTCTCAGCAGGATTTTTAATTAAGCTAGGAAAACAGAAAGTGTTACACAGGTTACACATTATTATCTTTTACTATAAAGATCAAGTTCTATCGTGTTGGTGCACTGCTTCGGTCCCAGGAAGAT